CCATGGGCTGTGCTGCTGTTGGAGCTCCGTGTGTGCTGTGCTGGCTCAGGTCTGGGTGCAGTTCCAGGCTGTGCTCCCTCCCTGGGTGTGTAATGCTCATCCCATGCTCAGGCAGGGTTTTTGATTTTGCTCCTTTGGGAATGAATGGCCTTGTAGCAAGCAGAGCTCTTTGCCATGAGGAATCTGCATTCCACAGTCTCTGGTTAGTGGGCTAGAAAAGGTTATTTTTGTTTTCCCCCTGAAGTTCCTGAGTCTCTGATTGTTGTGGGCACGAGCCCCAGTGCATTTCCTTTAGGCCAGGCTGGAGTGTGACTCCTGGTTGCCATCGTGTCAGAAAAGGCTTTGTGAGCCATCAGAAATAAGGTTGGGAAAGCCCTAAACTGAGGGAGCTGCTCCTGGAGAGGAGTTGGTGTTTCCCTTTGCTGGGGTGGAATTCAGGAGAATTGAACAGCCCTGAATGTGCCTGGAACCTCAGAGAACTGGACCTTTGCTCAGCTGTGTGTAACCTGGCGTGAGGGAGAGGTTCCACCTGCAGCTCTGAGCTGCTCTGGCAGCTCTGGCAGCTGATCCTCACTGTGTCCTCTTTTTTCCTTTTGTAAGATGGAACAATAATAAACAAAAACTATCAAGTGTTAAGACTGTCAGACCTGGTGGCCAATTAATTCTTCTTGTATCCAGCAAGGGAAGCACCTCTCCTGCCAGACACACCAGGAGTCAATTTTTATACTCTTAAATTGTGTGTTGGAAAGAACAGCTGAGTTTTCATCATGGGAATATTAAACAGTAACACAAGTTTGCTCTTTAAGCACTGATCATGAGGTTCTTAGTTTGGATTTACTTTCAAATCTCGATTTTAAAGAGTAAAATCTCATTTCTGAGGGTAAGAGATGCAGCAGCTGATGCTGTTCTGCTGGTTGGTTCCAAACAGTCCGTGCTTTCCATGAATTGTAAATATTTGTTGAAACAATTAATGGTTGCAAATTTTGATCTTGGTAAATAAAGTCGCTAAAATATTATAATTCTGCTGGTCCCTATTTATTTGTAATGAAGTTAGAGCTGCAGTGGTGGTGACCAGGTGGGAATACCTGTGTGGGATCAAGTCCTATGACAGCCAGGAATAAATAATACTCTTAGTGGATTAAATGGCATTTTTACACACCTGCCAGTGCTAAAAATCATGAGTGCAGAACCCTTCCTGCAGGGTTTTTACCTTCTTAGTTTTCAGTAAGCTGAGCCACAGGTAAGGTTTGGCTAATTAAGTGGTTAATTAAAACCTTAGTGTGCTCTGCTGGCTTTTACCCGGCAGAGGGAGCATCTGCCCTCCCCAGCCCCTGGCTGTGTGTGTTTAACCCCCTGAGGGCTGGAAAAGCACAGAAATAGGGTGGGAACAAAGTGTTTCCAGTCCATAACATTTCTACATTCAATTTTCCTCATTAGTGCCGAGGCTGGTACTCTTTCCTCTCCTGTCAGTGTGGATATCAGAGGCAGGAAACAAAAAATACAATGGCAGACACGACTCCTAAAAAGTAAGTGCACATCCTTTGGCTCTGGGATTTATTGTCGGTCAGGAGCGAGCTGGTTTCTCCAGGCTTTCCCAGGCAGCACAGACCTCCACGAGGACCACACGCTGGATTCCCGTCTACAGAAGGTGCGTGAGCAGCGTGTGCCCCAGCGCCAGCAGCACGGTGAGCGCGGTGCCCGGGGGGCTCCAGGCCTGGTTAATCAGCAGCAGTTTGGCCTTGATCCATTTGCGGTACTGGGACAGGCGCACGTAGATGCCGGGGTAGCGGGGGCGGCCGCAGCCCACGCCGAAGCTGGCGATGCCGATCAGGTAATACCTGTCCGTGTCCGCGTGGTAGCACACCAAGGGGCCCCCGCTGTCGCCCTGAAAGGAACGTTGTGGTGTGTTGCAATGTCCTGTTTTACCTTCTCCCTTCCCCCTCGTCCCCTGTCAATCAGGCTAACATACCAGCAAGGCGTCGTGTGATTGGTCCCTCAGGCCTGGGGGACATTGGCCCGTATAGGTGTCCCCGGTCCCTTGAGACCCTGCCCCTTCACCTGGTTGGTGGCTCACCTGTCCCCTCCCCTTCCCCTGCCCTGAGCTTAAAATGTTAATGAGACCATGTGGCCTCTATTCTGTTAGCAGCAGTGGCCCAGTGCAGACATCTCTGTACCCATGGAATAAACATCTGGCAACCTTCTAGCCCAATCCACTCCCTTTCTCTCCACCATCGCCAGAAGCTCTCCCCTGAGGTAAACGGAGTCCTGACAGCCTGGACTTGCGCCTGTGCCCCGCTGCACTCTCAGCCAAGGTATCTCTGGGGTAAAACACCACAGTGCTGCCTTTGGCCCAGCAGCGAGGGTCAGAACTGGCCCAGGCACCATCTAACTGGTTATATTGGGATTCTTATTCCAATAAAGGAACACCACAAAAACCAGCAGCGTGTGAGGGTTTCCTGGAAGGAAACCCTTCAGGCAGTAATCAGCCTGATTTTTAGGTTTAGTTTAAGCAGCTGGGTTAACTGGACAGTCACAATGGCAGTAATGTGCAGTAGCATGTGGGCAACTCAAGGCCAGTCTGGTGCTGCTGGAAGGCAGAATCAGATCCCTGAGGCTGGAAAGGCCCTCAAGACCATCAAGTCTAAGCTGATCCCCATCTGGTCACCAGACCAGAATGCTGTCACCACATCCAGCTGTTCCTTGGACACGGATGGGGGGCTCCACCACCTTCCAATGCCTGACCACTCCTTCCATGGAGAAATCCCTCCTGATTCTGACCAGAGCCCTGCACTGCTTCTTCTGTTAACTGACTTAAAAGTAACCTGAGTATCTTTTAACTCAGATTCTGTTTGCTCTCTGCACCTTTTCATAAACCTAAACCTTCACTCCTCACTTAACTGTGGGATTTGTCCACACGGTGTGGGAGCTCCAAGAGACACAGTGAGGAGCACACACCCTGTGTCTTGGCCGTGTCACCTGCTCAGGGAAAAGTGCTGAGGGAAGCAGGAAGTGGATCAGACAAAGCACTTAGGGCACATTATGGGGTTTCATTAGTAATGTCTCCGTGTCCCAGCTGGTGCTGCAGCTTCTGCCAGTGCTTTGGACCTGGGAACTGGCTTTTCCGAGAAAGAGGCGGCGATTGCTCAGCACTTAAACAAAAATCACGCCACATCCCTGAGCCGCTTCCTAGAGCCCTATCCCTGAACCACATCCCTGAGCCTCATCTGTGCCCAGTCCTGAGCTTTATCTGTGTCCAGTCCTGAGCCTCATCTCTGTCCAGTCCTGAGCCTTATCTGTGTCCAGTCCTGAGCCTTATCCATGTCCAGTCCTGAGCCTCATCTCTGTCCAGTCCTGAGCCTCATCTGTGTCCAGTCCTGAGCCTCATCTGTGTCCAGTGCTGAGCCTCATCTGTGTCCAGTCCTGAGCCTGATCTGTGTCCAGTCCTGAGCCTGATCTGTGTCCAGTCCTGAGCCTTATCCATGTCCAGTCCTGAGCCTTATCTGTGTCCAGTCCTGAGCCTGATCTGTGTCCAGTTCTGAGCCTCATCCGTGTCCAGTCCTGAGCCTCATCTGTGTCCAGTCCTGAGCCTTATCTGTGTCCAGTCCTGAGCTTTATCTGTGTCCAGTCCTGAGCTTTATCCGTGTCCAGTCCTGAGCCTGATCTGTGTCCAGTCCTGAGCCTCATCTGTGTCCAGTCCTGAGCCTTATCTGTGTCCAGTCCTGAGCTTTATCTGTGTCCAGTCCTGAGCCTCATTTGTGCCCAGTCCTGAGCCTCATCTGTGTCCAGTCCTGAGCCTTATCCATGTCCAGTCCTGAGCCTTATCTGTGTCCAGTCCTGAGCCTCATCCNAGCCGTGACCGGGACGTCCTCTTTTCACACCGGGAGGCTTTAATTGTGAGGAACGGGGCGGGGGGGCGCGGGGTCCCTGTCCCCCTCTTTCCGCTGCCTTTAGAGGCGGAAAGGGAGGAAAGCGGGACCGCGGTGGTTTTACAGAGGGATGGGGCCTGGAAATGGCCCTGTCCTCCTGTGTGGGTGATGGAGGTTCTGGGGAGCTCTGGGGTCGGTTCCTGCAGTGATGCTCGGGAACAGAAGGTGTGGGTGAGGCTGGAGGTGCCCATGGGACACTCCCTGTGCCCATGCCTGTCCCCTCGGGCCGTCACCGCCCTCTGCATCTCTTCAGGGCAGCCACATAAAGTTGCTGGAGCTGTTTGGGATCTCTGCATAGCCCTGGGCGTGGGGAGTTGGTGGCTTTGGGAGTAACAAGCCCCTGCACTCCGTTGGGACCTTTCCCTGCTGGGTCTGTCCTAAGGCCTTCCATAGCCCCAGTACTCCCGTTTTCCACCCTTTGTGTGTTTAGAAAGTCCCTGTTCTTCACTTTGGTGTTTTATGTAAAGCTAACAACGTGCCCAAAGGTTTCTTTGATCATCTTATCGTGTTCGGGTGCTTCTGCAGTGTTGTTCACTCAGGGTGGAGGACCTGGAGCCATCACAGATAATTTAATCAGTTATATAAGCTTGTATGTATGGCTTCGATGTAGATCATGGTATAGATACTGTGCTGCTCGGTGGAACAATTATAATCCTGTGGCTATTTGGTGGGAGGAGGTTTCTAATAGGCAGGAGGGCGAGCGATCACGTGCCTCGGGAAATGGAGCATGGCTGTGCCTTCATTCTCTTAAATAAAGCAGAAACAAAGTCAGCATTGAATGGAAATGAAGTAGCTTCAAACCATAAATCACAGCATCATCCTCCTCCCGTTTGGTGCCGTGTCTGTGCTTGGTGGTGGGGCTGCCCAAGTGAGTTTTTCATTAAAATGGCCTGGTCTGGGTTTCCATCTGGATGTTGCTGTTTTTCAATGGCTCAGAGGTGGCCCCGGGGCTGTGTGGCCCCATGGGCCCCTGCTGTCACATGGTGGCCCTTGAGCATCGATCGCCTTCCCCAGGCTGCTGCAGCTCCATTGACATCGACAGGATCAATAATTTATTGTTGAGTTCAGAGCGATGGGCTGGGTTGGAGCTGGAGCAGTGAAACAACAAAACGAGTTGGGAACAAGCACAGGGGAGTAATTTCAGAGAGGAAAGGCGTGAGGTGGCTCGTGTTGGTGATGGTGGGGTGGAGAGCTGCTCCTTGTGGGACACTGGCTGGAATCTGGTGGGGTTCAGGAATGCTTGGGCTGCCCCTCTTGTGCCTCATTATCCCATTTCTGTGCAGAGGTGGAGAATTCAAGCAGGGAAGAAGTGGCTTCCTGCTGCAGGAGTGTATTACAAAACCTCCCTGCCATGAGCTCAGCTCCCAGCCTGCCTTTTAACACTTCACGTGTTCTTCTGGCTTAGGCAAAAATCTCTCCTTTTCAGGAGGGGTTTCTTCACAGAAAGAGTGGTCAGGCCTAGGAAGGGGCTGTGCAGAGGTTGGTGGGGTCCCTGTCCTTGGAGGTGGCCAGAGAATGACTGGACATGGCCCTGAGTGCCCTGGGCAGGTGACACGGTGGGGATTGGTCACAGGATGGGCTGGGAGGGCTTTTCCAGCCTCACTGATTCTGGGATTCTGTCCTGAAATGCTGCTCCAATTGTTCTGCCTTCCCTTCCCTCAGCCTTGTCCTGTAGCTGTTATTCCTGCCTGATGGAGCACTCCAGAAAATGGGAGATTTTGAGGAGAATGAGCAGCCAAAGCTTGGACTTTGCTCCTTTCAAAATTCAGAGGTGTTGCCACCCTCTGAAATTCCCATTCCATGCTTCTTGCACTTCTACCCCAGCCAGAAAGTGTGTGAGGAGTTTACAATGAACTCTGCTGAGAGGTGATTTGGGGAGGAATGTTTGTTGGGTACTGCATAACATTGCTGAATTGTCCAAAAAATGGTGTTAAAGTTACAGGAACAGTTACACAGGTGGTCTTAAAGTTGTGGAAATAAACCTTTAATTGCTGGAGAACTCTGCCCTGCTGGGTGAAATCAGGGGCAGGATGGTGGTGTCAAAACAACCAGGAATAGCTGACATTAGTGGAGGGTTTGGTTATATTGTATATATATATTATATATTATATTATATATTATATTAATATTAATATATTATATATTTGGTTATATAATATTTGGTTTGTCTGACCAAATATTAGGGGGTGATTAGGAGGGAAGAAAAGTGTCCCTCCACAGGGAAACCTGGCTTGTGTGCCAGCATACAGAAATTTTAACAGAGCACTCGAAGGGGGTTGTTTATTCTCCCCCCCTTTGTACTCAAACCATCTGAGCGCTCCACAACAGGAAATTAATTCCCCCAAAATTATAGTGTAAAATAACCATTCCCTGACTCCTGTTTTATGGGTCATGGATGGGCTGAGTGAACCGAACAAGGAATTAAATTTGGGTTAGTGGCTGAACTCTTGCACAGAAGCTGTTTTGAACAGTTCATTGTTCAGAAGTTTGAATTTAAAAGGAGGAGGTTGGAGCGCTTCAGGTTGTTTCGTTTGTGAACTTCCAAGTTCTGTGTGAACTTGGGGATAAACACAGGTTGGCCTTGAGTGAGGACAGAATAGGGAACTGGGGATTAATTAATTAACTAGGATTAACTAGTTCTGATTCTTGTGGCTTACTGAGGGATGTTACTGAAGGCACACAGCTGCTGGGAGGAAGTGAGGACCTGCAGGAATCCATCTTTAGTCAGTTTTCATTAGAGTGTTGTTAATTAATAATATTTTATTAATTAACAACACCTTAATGTTGTGGTCAGGTTAGACAGGGCTTGGAACAGCCTGGGGTGGCAGCAGGTGCCCCTGCCCATGGCAGGAGGTGGAACAAAATGAACTTTAAAGTCCCTTCAAACCCAAACCACTCAACCATTCGATGATTCCAATATTTTCCTTTGCTGTTCGTTGCTTCTTCTGTTTCCTCTGTA